TGACGATTATTTGTTTTGACAATTTTTTTTAATGTTTTTTGGTGTTCGCAATTTAAAAGTTTAGGACGACCACTTTGAGACTGAGTTTCAAGACTTTTTTCTTCACAAAAGATTTGAATAGTTCGATAAACTGCTGTTCTAGAAAAGCCAAGCAATTTAATAATTTTTTTTCTAGTGGTGCCACCTTTAAATAGACTAATAATCTGGTTGCGTTCAGCTTCTGTTAAATCATACATAATGCGATATAGTACGAATTCTAATTTTGTTGATCACATTTGATAGTTGTTTATAAATAAAATAACAATTATGTCATTGTTTATTTATAACATAAATTATCACATGTTAAAATTTCAGCCAAAATCATTAAGTATGTTTTGGAGTAATTAATAAAATATGGTGTCCGCCTACTTTTGTCCAAGTAGTGTATGTTGTAATTGCAAAGGTAAATTTGGATTCTTCCAACACTATTTTCTGTCATCTGAATCAAAAATCATAAATTTACTTTCATCTGACTATATTACCCAATCACAACTTTACAGAAAGTTATGATTTTATTAAATATGTTAAAAATATTATTAATATATATTAGTAATACTCACCACTTGAATCTGATTCACTTTCATCACTATTACTATCAATAATTATTTGCCTATCTTGTATTTTCTTTAGTTGAAGTGTAGGATTTAAGTCCTTGGTTTTTTTTATAATTTTTTTCTGATTTTTATTTTGACTATTATTTCTTGGGTTTTTCATAGTTATGTTGGTAGGAATATCCAAATTATTAATTGCTTTGTTTTGAGCAATATCTGCATCAACTATTTCATTTATAGAAGATCGTGTCTGATACTTCTTTTTTATTATTTCTTTAGGTACAGTCATTGTCTTCTGCTTTGGAGATATAGCTAAATAGATTTCATAAAAAAATATTAACAGGATTTGCATTTTTTAAAAAAATTAGTAAAGCCACAATAAATAAGTATTGATCATGAACTGATTAAAAAAGGCGTAAAAACAATTAATCAAATATTTAAGGTTGATTAAAAGACTCATCAGAACTATTTAATGATGATGTCAAAGACTTTCTGCGCTATTATAGTACCTACAGTATATATTTTATTCGTTAAATTAGACTCATGATCATCTGACCACTCTGCACTTAATTTTTTTATAGATTGATATTTCTATTTATGGAAAACAATAGACTTTACTATACTGGAAACTTCTGATTATTTTTATACTTCATATTTTTTTATTTAACTTTGTATTTTTTATTTTTATTTTTTTTTTTCACTTTAATTCTGATAAGGCCAGACCAAATAGATCATCTGTTTAACATCATCCCCCCCCCTCCTACAATTTTAGTTTCAGAAAATAGTTTAACAACAAATATTAAATCACTTGATATACATATCTAAATCACAAAAAACCAATTTTTCAATTATTATTCTTGTATTACAGAAATGATTAAAAACCCGTCTTAGCATACAATATTCAAATATCTTCCAAGTTTTTCAAAATTATTTATAATTTGATAATTACGGAAAGTATTTAATAAAAATGTAGAGTATTTATAAACTTAACACAAGTATGTTTTAAATTTTATTTTATTTGAGATGCCACATTTTGTAGTTCATATTGAAAAAGAACACAAAGTTCTAATTAGCTCCAGAATAATTAAAGACTCTTCTCTTTTTTCAGAAAAACAAATTCCAACCTTCAATGACCTTTTCAAAAATCTTGTTCAGCCAGAATTTTGGTTACATGAAGTTCATATATTTGTTAGAAAAGGATATTTAAAATGGAACTTTGTTCAAGATGGTTTACAAGATAAACTTAGTTTACTAACAACACTTGGTTTTATATATATTAAGTTTGTTATACTATCAGAAGATATTTCACAAAGATTTAAAAACACACAAAATACAAATAAAATATCTGAAACAAATGCATTTACTATATTAATGGAAAATGCTAATAAATTAGTTTTACCTGTAATTAAAAAAGAAGAGAATCGACATGATTTATTGTATAATGATATTATAAAATTATTCAAATAAAAAGAGGTTGGTTGGACTGGTGGACTGCATGAAACAGTTGGTAAAAAATTTGTTGAATGACTGGTAGCATTAATTTGATATATTGATCCACATTTACACAGGTCAAACGCTGATAAATCAGGTACCTTTCTGATTGGTTACTATTTTTTTGATTAGCAATCAATAAATCGGTTAATACCATAATTATAATTATTAGGTAGAATTACATAAATCAGGTTCAAACCGATTTTATACTTATTTTTAAAAATTTATAACTATATGGGAGGTTTGCTAGGAAAATGGGGCTCTGAGACTAAAAAATTTTTTTGATTAAATTAATAAATCAAAATAAACAAAAAACTAGCTTTAAATTTGAGGCGATCTATTTTTAGGTCATGTGATATATAT